TAGCTATTAAACTCAAAGCTTCTATAAAGTCAACCATATTGCATATGATTCCAAGAAATTCTACAGAATTGTAACTCACTCAAATCCCTCACGAGTAGCAAGGTAATATTAAAGAGTTAGATATCACAATTCAGTGATCACCTAAATATACCTTTCTCCATTATGAATAGCCTCAACTAAAGTATAACAATATAGATTTAGTTATTACCTTTAAAATGGTAAAGTTCCTAAATCCAACAGATTACTTGCTGAGGTTTTTCACACATAGAAGGGAGAGACTGATTAAATATCAGCACAAAGCTTCCCCATGACAAAAGAATTATAGAAGAAATATCACAAGATTTCAAAGACAACATCACAATCATTCTAATTACCCTCAAGAAGAAAGGTTAACATACTTGATAACTATCATGGAATTGCGTTTTTCTTCTAGCAAAATCTTGGTGAAAGTTGTTCTGAACCTGACACTGAACCATACTGCCTATCATTTTCAATAGGAAGGAGAGTGCTCTCGTCCAGGACATTACAATGGCATGGATTTTACTATGTGGAAAATCTGGAAACTCAAGAAACAAAATCAACACTCCTATACTGTATTAATTAGTCATGTCAAGCATCTGCTAGCACCAATATCTTAAATATTAAGCAGATTTGATTACTCAGAGATTTTAACTAAGATATTATAAAGTTGTACCCTTGTGATACAGCTAGCTGTTTTAGAATTGAGGATGTTTATTTTACTCAACACTGCCATTGCAAAAGAGGATATAATTTTATTCCATCTGTGTAATAGCCAGTGCTAAAACACAGTTTCAATCCTTCAAAAAAAATCTTTCAACTCAAAAGACTAAAAGCTTCATCAAAAGTACCTCAAACATTGGGTAGATAACTTTTTGGATGCTATTGACACAATCCTGGAAAAATACTCAAGAAGACATACAAAAAAGATTGCAAACTAATGGTTCCTGGGAGGGCTGTCAGTTTCACATAGAGCATAGTTAGCCCTTGTCCAATACCTAATGTTCCAGCTGGACCTGAATATTTTTATGCCCCATTTGAAATAGAAAGTAATAGGACATCAATAAGACCTCAGGAGCCTAGGGCACAGCTACACTAGGATGCAGCCTATTTTAGAAATGCTGCAAGTATAACCTCCCTTACTGACCATCAATTTGCTGACATTTGACCATTGTCAAGCGTACTCCTTCCTCATCTCTGCCTTTCAAAATTTTCCACTTCCTTCAAGGCTCAATTTATGTGTTACCTCACAAATGATCTTTTCTCTAATTCTCCAGCTGCAAATTCTCTCTTTCCTTGCATTTTCTTCTAGCACTGTGTCTAGATGTCTTTTTTCTATTCACACTCTACATTGCATGATAATTATCTGTATGTATATCTTACCTATCAGAAGACTTTAAGCTACCTGAGCTATTTTTCATCTCTATATTCACCAGTTCCTTGCACACAACCAGTTGCTTATTAATCGTCTGTTGAACTATTCTGAAGCTGCTTTGTGGGGTCAGCCATATGACAAATGATAAGTCTGAAGAACTATGGTAATCATAAGTCAGCATCAGGGAAAGATGTTCATTAAAAACACAGAACCAAAAGCATTCTTTGAATTTTACAACCCAGACATCATTATGTTCCAAAACATGCGAACTGATAAAGAAAGAAAAGTCCAATGCACTTTCTATAATAATTTCAATCTCTGTATTCAATCTCCTCTCAAGGAGGCTACATTTTATGGGAGGTATATAACATTTAAACAAATTTAAAATACATATGATAGTTTGAGGAGGGAGAGAATATTAACAATTAAGGGGATCAGGAAGTTTGTTTGGGTTTTTTTTTTGGTAGAATATGGTACATGAACTTGTGAAGGAAGCTACAGATTCTAAATGGCATCAAAATGCACTTGAGGCATGGGGACAGCCTTTGCAAAAGTATGGAAGTATTGAATTTTATAATAAGTATGCTATGGAAGTATTGAATTTTATAACAAGTATGCTAGTTTAGTTGGAATGTAGAGTACATAAAGGGAAATTGTATTTAATGTCTCTAAAGATGACCCGGAGCAAGACTGAAAGGCTTTAAATGCCAAAGATTTTTCAGTAGGAGAGTGACACAGTAAGTCCTGAGACAAAGGAAGACTATTTTGGCCACTATTTAGAGAAAGTAGGAGAGGGAAATGTCTGGAAGAAGAGAAAACAATTAGGAGTTCGTTACAATAGTCTAGTTCAGAGGTGTCAAACATGAAGCTATGCAGCCTAAACCAGATTAAAACGTCCACCTGCAACCCACAGGGATCCTTATTCCTTGGGGAGTGGCCCCCACTTTCTCTTTGAGGTTGACAGCACTGGCCGAGGTGACAAGTGATAAGGGTCTGAACAAGGAAGGTTGCTGTGTGACTGGAGACAAGAGACCAAGAAAAAGTATAGAGAGCAAAAGGAACAGAGCCCAGGGCAGAGCCTGCGAAGATACCATGGGTTCAGCTCTAGGGCACAGATGATGACTGAGGAGGGTCAGGCAGGTAGAAGGACAAGGAAGGCATATCCAGGAGGAGGTGTGTGTGTGTGTCAACAATACCAAATGCTACACAAAAGTAATAAAAGGTTGCTAAGAATCTGCCAGAGGATCTAGCAATTAAGAGATCATTGCTAACCTTAGAGAAAGTAGTTTCAGTAGAGAAGTGAATGGAGAGAGAGGAAATGGAGGCAATATTATAGGAGTTTGTCTATGAAAGAGAAATATACCTAGAATGACAGCTTGATGTGAACAGTGGAATCAGGTGGAAGTTTTTGAGGGATGAGAAAGAGATGAACACCTTTATAGGAAGCAAGGAAAGAAACAGAAGATAAGAATTATCCTTGACCCAATTGATATGTTCTGAATAGGTCAAATTTCAAGTACCAATAGGTTATTCAGCTTGAGATAGATATCCAATAGAAATTTTTGGTTGGGAAGGTGGGTTGGAGATAGAGATTTTGATATCATGTGTATAAGTAAAACATTGGAGATTAGGTCACCAAGAAAGAAATTAAAAGAGGGGAGAAAAAAGTCCAAGAATAGGGCATTGCGAAACACATACTTTAAGGAGTAAGTGATAAGAAAAGTTGTCTATGAAGGAAATGGAAAAGGATTGGTCCGAAATTAAAAAAAAAGGAGAACTAGAAACATCATGTCATTGAAACCAAAATAGTTTGATGAAGTGTCAAGGAGGAAAAAATTAACAGTATTAAATGCTGCTTAAAATTTAATTCTTACCAAAAAGGCATTAAACAAACATCATTATACATATTTTACGAGGATTGTGAAGAATAACAAATAATGGATTTGTAAGACACTGTACAATGCAATGATGAAGGACAAAGCAACACAAATGTTTGTACTTTAATAGCAATTACTTTTTGTCTCTATTTTAAGAATAAAAATCATTCTAATTATGTAACAGCATTATTTAAATGCTTAATAATAATATCACATAGGCATATTAATGATAAATGGTAAAGTCCATCCATGTTTCAAGCAGCAGCATACCTTAAGTTCTCATAAAACAGTTTATGTAAACCATCAATACACACCATCCATCCTTTCACGCATCCTTCATAATATCCGGTTGCCTAATTACATGATGGGAAACTAAAGTTTCCACTTACCCATCATTCATACTTGTTGAAGTATTAACTTTTACTTGTTTTAATACTTATTTGTTAAGGCATATGCCTTCTTAAAAGAATTTACAAGGTGATAAAACTACTATACTAGTGCAATAGGTAGAACAAAATGAAGTAGTCCATGCTATAAAGTATACTGAGAGTTTAAAAAAAAAGAACTTTTTTTAAAGGCTCCCTCAACATTCTGGCTTTCATTAGGGGGTAGAAGATTATTTTTCAAAAATACTTATTAAAAATAAATTAAATCCCATGATTGTTTCAATTTTTTAGGTATAAAATTTCATTGGGTATACACATGTGTATAAACTATGTACACGGTACATTTATGTGTACATGAGAACATTTATTTGTAATCAGAAACCTTTGATATTGGTTCTGATATTTGAGGATTAAAATCCCAGAACAGAAATGCTTATTTCAATTGGCTTTTTATATATTGGGGATGACATGTAAACTTTTCCTTTATGTATATTTATATACATATGAATATATAATCACATATACTTATTTATAGCCATTACATATCATCTAGAATCATAACTAGATCTGAGGTCATTATGAGCTCTTTCAGCTTGATAAGAAGGTACCAGTCACAGAGAAATATCCTCTGATGCACTTAAAATACTTCTTGATTCTAATCTTGGGCTACTTGGGCATTATGAAAAAATATAGAGAAAGCGTGCCCTGTAATGATGGTTATAAGACTACCTGGGTAAGCTCAGATAAAACTAATTTAGAGGACTAGACAAGAATCCAAACTAGAAGACTGGGTTACTTACCAGTAATGGGAGTTCTCTGACTGAAAATTTACTCCACAGATCCATACATATTGGAGTTATTCACATGTACCACCTCAAGGAATCGGGAGCTGTTGAAATGAGAATTTCCAGAAGGTTGGCACGTGCCTTATAGCATGTGCCAAGTGCTGGTCGATTCCCTCCCTGTGCAAGCCATAGCAGCTTGACCCCCAACTCTATAATTTGGATTATATGGCTGGGACACATATTCTAAGCACACAAGGCAGGGGATGTTTGTGAGAGTGGCTCTTAAAAAGAGATTACCCAATCAAAGAACTCCAGTTACCAGTAGGTAATCCTCATTTTCCCATTGTTTTGTTCTCTTCCACATTCTCCATTCTCTGGAAACTAGAAGTAGCACCCTAAGGAGATGTAGATGTAGAGCTAAGTTCACATTCCCAAGTCTAGCTCACACGCGTACAAAATGTACTAAGGTAAAGATATAAAAAATACTTGCCTTCAAAAAGTAGATAACTTTTCATACATGCTAAACTAAAATTTCAGTCATACATACTATATTTCTTACCTTGCGCTTGCAGCTTCCTTAAGAGTTTGGCATCTGTATTATCGAGAAATTCACTGCTACCAACATTTGGAGGTCGACCTTTGCGCCGTCTCATCCTGGATTCCTCTCTAACACACTGTCTATCTGGATTGGGTGGTCGTCCTCTACGACCTTCCATTGCCCTGATTCGGGGGATGACTTCCTCTTCCTTCAGAAGACACCACTGCATTCCCTTTTAATTAATATTTTACAGAAATATATGATGAACAAAATGAACACAAAATACCAAGATACTTAGGTAGAAGACAGCAATATGTCTACGTATGCAAAATTCAGTTAGTTGACAGAGCTAGGGTAATTTCAGAGAAATTTTCAAATATATACCACTGGAAATAATTTTATACAATTTGTATTTCAGCTCACATGTAATTATTTCTGCTTTTGGAGTCTGCTTACACATATTATTTAAATAAACTCCCCAAATACCATGAAGGTAACTTCTGGTTGAATTGATTTGCTGCAGTTTGTCAACAGTGTGACTACTGTCACAGAATCAGCAGCACTTGCTGTTCAAACACATCAATATGTTTAAGGATCATGGTGAATAGGAATACTCTAGCTTACCAGGTTCAACTGAAAATTAAAGGAAGAGTGGTTTAGGAACCATTATATGATAGTTTGGGAACTACAATATTGTGAAAGACAAACCCTGGAGCACTGATTTTTCTCCTACTTGGTAAGCATATCTATATATCAAAGAGATATGAATTATTTTTCTCATCCTTTTTCTCTTCTGAGGTTGGCATAAAACAAGGACAAAACCTGAAAAAGTGAAATGCTCAGACAAAGGAGAGGTAATATTTTCAAGAGAATTTTTTATGGTTTTATTTGTTTTTTCTCCTGAACTGATAAGCCTACAATGATCACTTTTTTTTTGAAAGGACGAATTCCTTTGTTGATGTTTCATTTAAAATAAATATAATATAAAGCCTTCAGAGGACATTAATTTATTTCAGCAAATCTGAATTAGAAAGCAATCTTAAATTCTTAAGTTACACTTCAAGCAACTGACTGTTCAAGGCATTACTGAAAAAGGAACTGAAAAACTTACAGCTTTTTAAATTTCTATAAGCCTTCTATATACCTTTGAATATAGGTCACTATTGCTACTCTATATTTCAAATTTGGGATAGCTTTCATTTAGCTGATATGGAAGAGACCTCACACTGGGTGGTCTCCCTTGCCTTTAATTAGGTGTGGGTAGTTGTTTGATCTACTTTTGCTAATGATAGGTAAGTCTCTCTCTTAATCTAAGGTGTTTTTTTTTTCCTAATGAGTGATTTAGAAAATGGTAGATAGAATTATTTCCAAAGTGAACCATTACATACCGATGAAAACTCATCAAAGACTCTGCTAGGCAGAGGACTGTGCAAAGCAGAACACCAATTAATCCAGTTATGCCTATATATTAAGACAATCTCTACCCTGATCCTTTTCATTAATTTGCAATTTCAAAAGACAAAATAAAATTAATTTTGAATAATATAAGAATTCTTTACCTGAACTTAAAATAAAGTCAATACAAACAGTTGTTGCACCAAAGGCATTTTGAGGCTATAAAGCCCTGAGAGGTAAGCCATCATAACAGTTTTATGCTCCCCAGCATGGGAAGCTTTTGATTAGTTTAGGTTTTCATTTTTGTATCATGCACTTAGGTACCAAGGCAGCATGCATCACATAAATTGAAAAATATAAAAGTGACATTTGTGGTGCTTGGAGTAGAAGAAAGAGCCCAATAAAACAGATTGTAAACCAATCTACATTCCACTTTAAAACTACTTTATTAATAATAAAATCAATTTTAGACCAAGTTTTAAAGGAGCTATTGGAAGCTACTTCCTTTTTTAGAGATACAATTTTGTACAAAGTTACATTTTACCCAGCTAGCAAACCAATAGGAAAAAGTCACCTATGGCAAAAACTGAACATAGACCATAGGCACAAACAATTTTTCAGCCAAATTAGGAAGTTGCTCATTGTTTTAAATTTCACCCTTAGTATTTAAAAATTCAGTACTCTGTATTAATTATAAACAGTACCTTCTGATTAAAGACATAAATGGAATGCCAAAAACCCAAGCCCCAATTCTAAAAAAGAAGAAAGAAGGGGAGCAAACCAGATAGTTCAAGAAATTAGGAATAAATCTTTTATTTCAGAGATGTGAACATCCTATTGCACTAAAACATTTCTAGTTTTTCAAGGATATACAAGAAATTAATTAATCTATATCTAAAAAGATTTCCATTTTGAAAAGAAAATAAAGAACTTATTATTAGTTCACATATATCAGAAAAACCTAGACATTCACAATACAATATTCTTAATTCAACTTAGGTTTGGCGACCCACAAAGCAAAGAAAATACAAAATGGAGTTTGGTTCTGTGTAGCCCCACCTGATTAAGCCAGGACTGACAAAATGTCAGAAAAGCAGAAGCACCATCCAGTTCTTAGAATGTCTAGATGGCATTCTAAATACAATCTTTATCCAATGACCAAAAGGCTGACAATTTACAAGAGATAAACCATTATCAATATTGCCATTCTTGCTCTAAATTTGCAATTAAATGTAAGGACAGCTTGCACTATTTCACAGGATACGTGTTCAGCTGAGCTTGCACATTCCCTGACTAGAAGAAAGAATCATCACTGGATTAAGGAGTTAAAGCCAGAAGGGATCCATCTACCTGAACCCTCTTACCTTATAGATGAGGAAATTGATGATTAGAGAGGTTCTGAAGGGACCTGCCCAGGGTCACATGGTGGTAAATGGAAGATTTGGAATTTGAACCCAGGTTCTCTGATTCCAAATTTATCATTTTTCCATCATACCACATGCCTCCCATAAGAGTTCATGTGGCAGGACTGAGTGGATTACAATGAGGTCAGGGAATCAGAAACACCGCATTCTTCAATCCTGACTTTTATTTTAACTTCTAATGTATATGTTTTCTCACTGATATGGTGTGAATTTAGTCATTTAAGGAGCAATTTGACAAGAAGACAATAAGTTATAGTGGAAAGAATAATGAACTCAGAGTTAAGAGACCAGAAATCTATCCTCTACTCTGCCAGTCACTCCTTATATCCCATGGGAAATTCAATTAGCCACTCTGGGACTATTCTTAAGGTGTAAAGTAGAGGTGTTAAATTATTCTTTTTTTTTTTAAGGCAATTGGGGTTAAGTGACTTGCCCAGGGTCACACAGCTAGTAAGTGTCAAGTGTTTGGTCTGAGGTCGGATTTGAACTCAGGTACTCCTGACTTCAGGGCCGGTGCTCTATCCACTGTGCCACCTAGCTGCCCCTAAATTATTCTTTAAGGCATCTTCTAGTTCCATAAATCAATTAACCTAGTTTTTCTCACTTACTCTGCATCAGTTCATATAGGTCTTTCTATGTTTTTCTAAAATTACCCCCTCATCATTTCCTATAGCACAATAGTACTCCATCAAAAATATATGCCACAACTTGTTCAGCCATGCTCCAATTGATGAGTATATCCTTGATTTTCAATTCTTTGACACCACAAAAGGTGTGCCATAAATATTTTTGTATAGATAGGTCCCTTTTCCTTTTTCTTTGATCTCTTTGGGGTACAGACTTAGTAGTTGTGGTATTGCTGGATCAAAGGGTATGTACAGTTTTATAGCTCTTAGGGCACAGTTCCAGATTGTTCTATAGAGCAGTTGGACCAGTACAGCATTCTACCAACAGTTCATTAGTGTATTTTTCCCTCATCCCCTCTAGCATTTGTCATTTCTGATAGGTGGGGGGTGGTACCTCACAGTTGTTTTAATTTGCATTTCTCTACTCAAGTCATTTAGAACATTTTTTTTTCCTATGACTACATATAGATAGCTTTGATTTCTTCTTCTGAAAACTCCCTGTTCATATCTTTTGACCATTGATCAATTGGGGAATGATTTTTACAAATTTGACTCTGTTCCTTATATATTTGAGAAATGAGGCCTTTATCAGAGAAACTTATTGTGAAAATTTTTGACAATACTTCATTGTCTATGATATCTTTTTAGCATATGTACTTTCCCTTATTATCTCTTTTTATTAGGTCTATTTTGACCTATTCTGGAAAGCATTTTGGATCTATGCCCAAAAGGCAATGAATTTTAGATACCCTTTGACCTAGCAAAACCACTTCTAGGTCTGTATCCCAAAGAGATAAAAAATAAAAGGGAAAAGGACCTATTTGTACAAAAAATATTTGTAGAAGCTCTTTTTGTGGTGGCAAAGATTTGGAAATTAAAGGGGCACCCATCAATTGGGGAATGGTTGAACAAGGTGTGGGATATGATTATGATGGAATACTATTGTGCTACAAGAAATGATGAGCTGGATGTTTTCAGAAAAACCTGAAGAGACTCATATGAACTGATACAAAGGAAAGAAAGCAGAACCAGGAGAACATTGCATATAGTATCAGCAATAATGTACAACGATCAGCTGTAAATGACTTATTCTCCGCAATACAAAGACCCAAGAAAATTCTGAAGGACCTATGATGAAAAATGCTATCAACCTCCAGAGAAAGAACTGATGGAATCTGAATACAGTTTGAAGCATACTGTTTTTTTCCACTTTCTTTTTTTTTTAATCTGTTTGTCCATGACTAAGATGGAACTTTTTGCATGACTGCACATGTAAAACCTTTATCAAATTGCTTGCCTTCTCAATAAGGGAGGAGGAATGGAAGGGTGGGAGAGAATTTGAAACTCAAAATTGTAAAAAATAAAGGCTAAAAATGGTTTTTTACATGTAATTGTAAAAAATAAAATATTTAAAAAATTAATTAGGTCTATCTTTGTTTTTGCTTTGTCTGAGGTAATAATTGCTACCTTTGCCTTTTTTACTTCAGCTGAAGCATAATAGATTATTCCCCAGTCCTTAATGTTAACACTGTGTGTTTCTGTTTCAAGTGTGTCTCTTGTATACAACATATTGTTGGATTCTAGTTTCTAATCCATTCTGCTATCTGCTGTTTTATGGATGAGTTCTTTCCCTGTACATTCACAGTTAAAATTACTGTGTATTTTCCTTCATCCTATTTTTCTTCTGTTTCTCCTCTTTTTTTTTTAAACCTGTCTCTCCTCAAAAGTCTGTTTTGCTTCTGACCACTGACTCCCTTAATCCACCCACTCTTTTATCATCTCCCCGC